AATAAGCACATCCTTTTTAACTTGTCTGTTAGGTATAATAACATGATGTATTCATGCTCCTAACAATGGGACATTCCCTGAGCATTCACTATAAAAAGGCCGTCTACAATGACACTGTTGTTCAAAGGTTTGCTGAATTACCTTTGAAAATGCTACTCATTGATCCCATTCCTGAGGAAACGTATGCATGATTTTTCAGAGCACACAGTGAATAAAAAATTTAATATATAACTGTACTTTTAGTTTTAATTTCTAAATTGGTTTTGATTGTAATAAATATACTGTAAATATATTGTAAATCCAAATTATATTGTAAATAGGCGTAGCCCTCGTTTAAAACAAACAACAATCGTCATTCAAAAAGCTGGAAATAACATTTTTAAGGACCTAAAATACAAAATCTCTTGGCAGGCATGCCCCCTGGACCCCTTGCAAGACAGTCAATTTTCCAAACCCCCTTTCACCAAATCCTGGATCTGCCTCAGTATGTTGTCAGTAAGTTTGTGTATGATTCAAGCATAACCATAAGTGTATCCTGCAAGCACTGAGGTCCACACTCAACATCACACATAAGCAGCAAAGCCATGAGAACACACTGGTGAACAAAGCATTTCCGCAAGGCTAGGTTCAAGCATCGGCCTTATTCTCACAGCTTTACCTATCGCACATATCCTCCCCTAACATTAGCCTGCTAACAGGGTAGCATAGGGCTTTTTATTATTTAAGTTTATCCTCACAGTGTAATACAAAAAAGGTTTTCTAACCTTGTTTTCTTTGATTTTATTTTGTAAATTAGGTAGCACTTATGAGCAATTTTTTCATAATTTTAGTGAGAAAGTGATTCATTTATTGTTATTACTTTTTACGATTTTTTTCTAAAGAGCATTCATAATCAAATCATATTAGCTAGCATTACAACTACTAAAAATTAAATATGAAATAATCTGAAAATAATCTTTTGTTCTTGCATTTTATATTTCTCATAGTCAATCACATAAAACTACATGTATTCCCATTGCAACTAAGAGTTCTTCCATCATGTTGACCAGATTCTGAAAAAAAGTCAAGAAATATTCATAAATGACAACCACCTGNAAGGTTTGCTGAACAACCTTTGAAAATGCTACTCATTGATCCCATTCCTGAGGAAACGTATGCATGATTTTTCAGAGCACACAGTGAATAAAAAATTTAATATATAACTGTACTTTTAGTCGTAATTTCTAAATTGGTTTCGATTATAATAAATATACTGTAAATATATCGTAAATCCAAATTATATTGTAAATAGGCGTAGCCCTCGTTTAAAACAACCAACAATCATCATTCAAAACGCTGGAAAAAACATTTTTAAGGACCTAAAATACAAAATCTCCTGGCAGGCATGCCCCCGGACCCCTTGCAAGACAGTCAATTTTCCAACCCCCTTTCACCAAATCCTGGATCCGCCTCAGTTTGTTGTCAGTAAGTTTGTGTGTGATTCAAGCATAACCATAAGTGTATCCTGCAAGCACTGAGGTCCACACTCAACATCACACAAAAGCAGCAAAGCCATGAGAACACACTGGTGAACAAAGCATGCCGCAAGGCTAGGTTCAATCATCAGCCTTATTCTCACAGCTTTACCTATCACACATATGCTCCCCTGACATTAGCCTGCTAACAGGGTAGCATAAGGCTTTTTATTATTTAAGTTTATCCTCACAGTGTAATACAAAAAAGGTTGTCTAACCTTGTTTCCTTTGATTTTATTTTGTAAATTAGGTAGCACTTATGAGCAATTTTTTCATAATTTTAGTGAGAAAGTGATTCATTTATTGTTATTACTTTTTACGATTTTTTTCTAAAGAGCATTCATAATCAAATCATATTAGCTAGCATTACAACTACTAAAAATTAAATATGAAATAATCTGAAAATAATCTTTTGTTCTTGCATTTTATATTTCTCATAGTCAATCACATAAAACTACATGTATTCCCATTGCAACTAAGAGTTCTTCCATCATGTTGACCAGATTCTGAAAAAAAGTCAAGAAATATTCATAAATGACAACCACCTGCCATAAGACATTTTATTCAACTCACCCATACCTACAAAACCAACCTCCTTCCCAGGATCCCTCATCTTCCCACCCTCCCAGAGTGAGAGAGGAGAGGGCAAAAAGATGAGAGACCCTGGGAACAAGGTTGCTACAAAACCCCTTGCTAGCTTGCTCATCTTGCTTGTCACCCTACTGCTCTTATCTGCTCTTACTCAGTCAGTTACTCCTCCAGCTCTCCTCCCTTCCTTTACATACAAACCATCAGGGACTGATCAAGAATATTCTGGGGCATAGTGAATGGCAAAAAATTAAATACAGGGGAGATTTTTTACTAGTTGTCACCATGACTCGAACTGTAAAGACCTAGCCTGAATCTCTCCTCTTTAGTTGACTAATAAAAGAGTAAGTCAAGTAAGACAAGGGCTGCCTTCATGCTGGCCTCCCTTTTAAGACAGAAAAGAACCATCTTCATTTCACCCATTCCTCCCCCATCTTTTAAGTATCCCTGGATCTACCACTGAATAATGAAAGTCAATAAAAAAAAAGGTGAATACTTACCTTACACCCAAAAATTGTCAGAATAGTCCACCTGCTCAGCAGCATTACCAACATCAGCCCACATGCCTCTCTTGGAATGGAAATAATGAAACAAGTGCATCATCTTGACTCTCTCTATTTCCATGCCATCCATCAAAATACGATCACAAATCTCCCAATCTTCTCCACCCCATTTATTCTTGAACTCTTCGACATTCATTCCTCCAATTCTGTCCCAGTCACTCTTGTAAATTGCCATCAACCCATAGCCATATTTTTCCCAAAACCCAAAGGGCCGATGTGCTGTGGTTCCACATGACAGACGTATAAGCAAAGGACTGTAAGCAACCCTGTGTTGAATGCAATGCTATAAAAAAATATAAAGAACACAGGACAATTACTGTTAAGTATACAATCAAACTCATTAAAATAGACACCACAGAAACAAAGCAAGTGTCCACATTAATAGTGTTTACAACCCTGAATCTAGTGAGTTTCCATAGATTACCACCACTTTCGTGCAGTCACAAAAAATTGCAAAATTAATTTGTAGAGTCTGTACAAAATTGCTGGTGTAAAATTTAAATTACTGTTTGCTGTATGACATCATCAGTAAAAGATTTACATGATATCATTCTTTGTTGCAAACTGCTGCAGTAAGATCCAAAACTAGCCTGAAATGTCAGTCAACTCCCACACTCTTTCCCTTGGCAGGAGATGACTGACATTTCAGGCTAATCGAAAGCTCAGAATTATGTTGATGTTATTATTGCCTGTAGTTACACAACCAGTAAACAAGAATTCCCCTCCC